TCAAAGACGGTCTGTTTTGAGTGCAACAAGAGGCTTTGTTGTACCCAAGAATATCGTTTCCAGCTGTGTAGTCCAGTAGGGCACACGGAGCAGCCCATCTGTCAAAGAGCCCTCATGAACTCTGTCATCAACAAGTACTATATAGCGCCTGGAATCACCACATTGACGAACAATTTTTTTGCAGAACATGTGACATCTGTGCAAAGTGCAATCCGGGGACCCCCACGCACAGAGAAGACACCACAGAAATATTTGGCCAAATCCCTATAACCTTTTCAAAGGATACAAATTGATCATATCCAAGATGCCAAAGAGTGGGCAGTGAGTACACCCTAGTGGTGTTGGACATGTTTTCCAGTTGGCCAGAGAGGCCTTTGCTGTAACTAACAGGACTGCTAAAACAACTGCGAAGAAACTCCCCACTGAGGTTTGTATGCAGATATGGCTTCCAGAGTGATAGAGAGTGACCAGGGCCCCGCTTTCACAGCTTCAGTAACCAAAGAAATATGGGCGGCATTAGGAGTCACTCTGGCGTTCCAAACCCCCCGATCACCCCCAAAGTAGTGGGAAAATAGAAAGAATGCTAAAAGTAGCCCAAGAGACTGGCATGAGTTGGCCAGACAGTCTGCTTAATTGCCCTATTTAGTGTCAAATACACACCAAGAGAGAACACTACCCTATCCCCTTATGAGATTTTGTTTAGCTCAGCCCCCAGATTTGGTTGTTATTTTCCACAACAGTTGCAATTACAATTTTGATGTGTTTAACTGATTATGTGACTGTATTATCACGTGAATTAACCCGTATCCATGTCCAAGTGTTTTCTCCATTCCAGATTCTGAGTCAGATACAGGAACTCACAGCCTATTACCCGGAGATTGGGTATTAGTAAAGAGACATTTATGAGGAAAAACATTCCCTTGAGCCAAGATATGATGGTCCATTCCACGTTCTGCTGACCACAGCCCCTTCTGACAAGGTGCCAGGAAGAACACTTGGATACACGCCTCCCAAACCAAGAAACGTCCCGAACCCTGAGGGAAAGGCGTCATCTACACCATGACAACTATGTTGTATATATCCTTTTTCTAATGAGTCTGACAGAGGCTCTCAACAGGTGGATATCACTGAAATAGGTGACACCACCATATATTTTGGTACAAACTCAATTCCAACACTCCATGTAGCTATTTACACCTTTGATTTCTGTAGTACAGATCCCATGTGGTGCTATGACCGTAATCTATATGATCTTGACACAACGAGCATGTTCTGATAGTAGTGACCAGGTATACATATGTGTCATGGATGATTTACTGGGGACCAAAAGATTAGAATGAAGATTGGAAGGGATTTGGACTGGTGAGTATGCCCTTGCAAAGGCCCATTATGCCCTCTCACCATCCTAGCAGAGAATACCCTGACCCCAACGCCTGGCCATAGGAGGAAACGAAAAGCTCCTTCTGCAGTTCGCGTTTTGACCCACATGTGTATAGATGCTTTTGGAGTCCCAAGGGGGGTGTCTAATAAATTTAAAGCCAGAGACCAAGTAAAAGCAGTTTTGAATCCCCGATTCCCATGATAGCTGTTAATAAAAATGTAGATTAGAATAAATGACATATACTACAACCAACAAGGTTTGTGAATTACACCAGGGATGCCCTTCAAGGAATCGTTGACCAGCTAGCCCTACATCCTACATGACATTCCAGAATAGAATGGCTCTGGACATGATTTTAGCAGAAAAAGAGGTGTCTGTAAAATGATAGAAGGAACCGAAACAATGTTGTACATATATTCCTGACAATACTGGCTCGAATGGTAAGGTTTACTCTGTCTATGAAGAAATTGGGAAGATCTGTCAGTTGAGTTGAAAAAGATTCAGGGATCACAGACTTGTGGGATCAATATTTCAGCTGGATGAGTGGGTGAAAAAAAGTGCACGCATCATCAAATAGGGGTAACTGTACTAATAATTCTAGTTCTTTTAGCTCTGATTGTATGTTGTATTCTAACCATTTGTAAAGAAGTTAATAAGCAAAGCTGTAGACAACAGAAACACCTACCAATTCCTGAACCAGGACCAAGAGGATCCCCATATGATGGATGAAGGAAAACCTTATACCCCCATTACGGTCCCTCAACCCCGCCAATAGTAATCTCACATTTTTGTAGGGATAGCATCTGACTTCCTTATGTACAAAGTCTGTGGCAAGGTGATGAAATAGTCATCACTTGTCTAACGTACAGCATAAAAGAGTTCCAAGGTACATAAGGACAGATGAGCTAGGCTTTATAGGGACAGAATAAAATAGTCATTTTAAGGGGGGACTGTGATGGATTTGGTAAAATGCCTATTTCGTTTCCTATTGAATATATATATATATACGCTATTTCTATAAGTTTTATAAATATTTACTTTTATACTTTAATACTATTTCTTTCCACATATTTATAAATGTTTAGCATGAATATATATGCTGTGTGAATATTTTCTGCCTGCTGGGCTTTGTGGTACTTTAAGAAATCCTTGCTTAAGAAATATTTGCTCACAGGAACAGACCCCCTCCCATCGTGTGATTTGGAAGACAAAAGAATGTTTTTCTCTTTTTAAGATAAGACTGAAGAAGATCACACCTATACCATGACGGAGATTGTTTTCGTGTAAAGTGACCAATCAAAGACTAATATAATGCTTATGCTGTTATCACGTGATGTTCGCATCATTTTTCATATATAAACTCACGGTTTCATTTCAATAGATTAGAGAGAAGTTTTCACAGACCAAAGGTGTCAGTGTGAGTTTCTTTATGTGCGCACATTCCACAAGCTGGCCAGCGTCATAAATTTTGGACAGGAACAGATAAGCACTGGATGATTAAGTCCATGACTAAAACAAGAGTACAACGTACAGAGGTATACACTGCTACTGCTCTTTCACTGTTCAATAAGGCTGGGGCAAAGAGGAGACCTATCTTTATTGTAGCAAAGGAAAGTTAAGCCACCAGCATAGATGAACAGTATGGCAGGACTGTTTAAATCCCAAGACTAGATGCACAAACATACAAATCCTTTGGTAGTTAAACATCTCCCACTTAAATAATTTAAAGTATAACTAAAGCCAAAACCTTTTCTAAGTCGTGTAGAGGGATTAGAACACCTGTCAGTTTTTATTGCTGTCCGCGCCCTGTTAGTGCCCCCCAGCACAGCCAGAAAACTGACCACACTGGGCTTGATAGGTTTCTATACCCAAGACCAGTAAGTGGATTCAAATATGCTTGGGACAAACATACTCACACCAAAAATATATTACAGTGAAGGAAATAAGTATTTGATCCCCTTCTGATTTTGAATGTTTGCCCACTCACAAAGAAAAGATCAGTCTAAAAATCGAATGGTAGGTGTATTGTAACACGGAGACAGAATAGCAACAAAAATTCAATAAAAATGCATGTCTAACAAATTATGCACTGATTTGCATGTTCATGAGGGAAATAAGTATTTGATCCCCTTCACAAAACATGACTTAGTACTTGGTGGCAAATCCCTTGTTGGCAATCACAGAGGTCAGACGTTTCCTGTAGTTGGGCACCAGGTTTGCACACATCTCAGGAGGGATTTTGGCCCACTCCTCTTGGCAGATCCTTTCCAAGTCATTAAGGTTTGGTGGCTGACGCTTGGAAACTCAAACTTTCAGCTCCCTCCACAGAATTTCAATCGGACTAAGGTCTGGAGACTGGCAAGGCCACGCCAGGACCTTAATGTGCTTCTTCTTGAGCCACTCCTTTGCTGCCTTGGCTGTGTGTTTTGGGTCATTGTCATGCTGGAACACCCATCCACGACCCATTTTCAATGCCCTGGCTGAGGGAAGAAGGTTCTCACCCAAGATTTGACAGTACATTGCTCCGTCCATCATCCCTTTGATGCGGTGCAGTTGTCCTGTCCGCTTAAGCAGAAAAACACCCCCAAAGCAGAATGTTTCCAACACGTTTGACAGTTGGGATGGTGTTCTTGGGGTCATAGGCAGCATTCCTCCTCCAAACACGGCGAGTTAAGTTGATGCCAAAGAGCTCAATTTTGGTCTAATCTGACCACAACACGTTCAACCAGTCCTCCTCTGCATCATTCAGATGTTCATTGGCAAACTTCAGATGGGCCTGGACATGTGCTTTCTTGAGCAGAGGGACCTTGCAGGGCACTGCAGGATTTCAATCTTTGTCGGCGTAGTGTGTTACCAATTGTTTTCTTGGTGACTGTGGTCCCAGCTGCCTGCAGATCATTGACAAGATCCTCACGTGTAGTTCTGGGATGATTCCTTACTGTTCCCAAGATCACCGACACTCCATGAGGTGAGATCTTGCATGGTGCACCAGACCTAGGGAGACTGACAATTGTTTTGTGTTTCTTCCATTTGCGAATGATTGCACCAACTGTTGTCACCTTCTCACCAAGCTGCTTGGCGATAGTTTGGTAGGCCAGTCCTGCCTTGTGTAGGTCTACAATCTTGTCCCTGACATCCTTAGACAGCTCTTTGGTCTTTGCCATGGTGGAGAGTTTGGAATCTGATTGTTTGATTGGTCCTGTGGACAGGTGTCTTTTATACAGGTAACAAAATGAGATTAACAACATTCCCTTTAAGAGACTGCTTCTAATCTCAGCTTGTTACCTGTATGAAAAGACACCTGGTAGCTAGAAATCCTGCTGAACGATAGGGGATCAAATACTTATTTCCCCCATGAACATGCAATCGGTGCATAATTTGTTAGACATGCACTTCTTTTGAAATTTTTGTTGCTATCCTGTCTTTCAGTGTTACAATACACCTACCAATTGATTTTTAGACTGATAATTTCTTTGTGAGTGGGCAAACATTCGAAATCAGCAGGGGATCAAATACTTATTTCCTTCACTATAATGTGTATATATATATATACCGCTTGGTCATTTTTCTGCTGTCATTCTTCTATGTTTCTATAGCATAAGTAAAAGCAATAACTTACCAACATTTGTGGGGAAGAGTCCTTCATTGTTTATTTGAACTTCGATCCAATCCATCAAAAGATTCATGTACTCTGGAGCAGATAATGCTGTAGGTTTTCGATATTTGTTTTCATCTTGCCATCTATATTCATATTTTGGACCACCAGACATAATAGGACAAGACTGCTCAGTACAGCTGTCACTGACTGTACCATAAATAAGATTGATACGGTTGAAAAAATCCACAACATGAACTGCCACCCAGTCATTTAAGTCTTCTCCATGTGGTAGCTGAACAGCCAACTTCAAATCTAGACCTGCATTGAGAGATGCTTGGGCTTTCTTATGCAACTCAAATCGCTGCGTTCCTGGCTCAAACTTCCGCTTGGGGCGGAATGTTCTGTCTTTGTTAAAAAACCTGTTTGAGAGGATTTGACATGGCAGCAAAGGTTAAAAGACCCCCGTTTGTTGTATCAGCTTTCTATTTGTCAGTCCAAATGACTGGTTAACAATAGCTTTTGATCTAGAAAGAAATGCAAATAAAAAACAAAAAACAAAAACATTGTTAAACAAACCAAATGAAAGGTACAATTATAATTTATGCATAATATCCTTTAACTATACTATTAAAGCAATGTATTTGTAGAGCTGAAACACACCAAGTTGAACTGAATTCACCTTTTAGGAAAAAAAAAAATAAAACATTTTTGCAGATAACAAAATGTATATTTATTATACCCCTCCAACCCCCCCCAGGATCCTGCACCATCTCCCTCTCTCCAATTTACTACCCGTACCTCTGTACAGCCTTGCAGTTTGAGCCAAGGTTCACACTGGTTTCTGTGCGAATTCTGCACTGCATCATAATCGCACCCAGTTCATCACTGCGGGTGTTCATGTCAAGTTAATAACACCCTAGAATCAGTTCACAAAACCTGGTGCGGTGTGCAGAATCGGATCGCATGGGTGTTAATTACCCATGCAGTCCGATTCTAGTGCGGTCCAAAAAAAAAAGAAAAAAAAAAAAAAAAAAAGAAGGGATCCTGCACCTTTTTGGCAGGGATGCAGTGCGATTTGAGCCATACAAAATGTATGGCTCAAATTGCACTGCACATAATTTGCATGTGATTTGCACAGGAATGTTCCTGTGCGAATCACATGCAATGTTCCGCACTGCAGAAGTGTGAAACCACACTGAAACCTGAAGGAAGATTGAAGGGACTACAAGCGTGCTGATCTGCATGATCATAGTCCATTGACAACTACAAGCCTCTCTGCCAAGGTGGAAGACGGGATTTGTAGTTTCTTCTTTCACAGACCTCTAATGAATGATGCAGCTATGCAGATGTATTTTAAATGACAGTGGCTGCACGGGAGATGAATCTCTACAGGTAACACATGCATTATCACAACACAATTTAAAAAATGGACTTTTGGCTCAACCTACTTCACCTATCTCATTATTAGGAAAATATTAAAGCGGTAGTAAAGGTGAAAACAAACAAAAAAAAAACCCTGAAAAGGTAAAAAGGCATAAAGTGCTAGTATACATGACATAGTGTACATAATGAAAGACTTACCTTGAAACGAAGCCCTCCAGCGGCGCGCTGTCACTGCTGCAGAGGCTTCCATCTTCACCCGGTCTTCATTCCAGGTTCGCGTGCTGTGGCCGCTTGACTAGCCGAGCTGCGATGACATCACGGGGATGTCATTCTTCACCGGCTACTGCTCCCTAGAATATCTCCTAAACAGTGCACGTTTAGGAGATATTCATTTAACCTACAAGTAAGCATTATAAGCTTACCTGTAGGTTAAAATAAAAATACAGAGTTTTCTACCAGATTACCCGACACGTTCAGAAAATAACTGAACTAATCCCCGACAAATCTTTATTCATGCTTATTTAAAAACACACAAACATAAATAATTAAAAACTCTACCCATCATGCCATTGTGTCCATACATATTTGAATAAAATTAGATAGAACACACACACACACACACACACACACACACACACACACACACACACACCACACCTCAACAAATCACAGTGTGGGCTGGAGGGGGCCCAGGCGCCAGGTCATGGTTTCTAGTCGCCATGGCAACTGGGCCCCCTCCAGCCCACACTGCCCCAGGCCATCCCCACCATGAGAATACAGTGATTACTGCTAGCGACTACAATAGCAATAATCGCATGTAAAAATCAGACTAGCTGGTTGTACATTCAGCTTGCCCAAACATGGTTCGAATCTCAGCCGGTCCCTGCTGAACCAGCCGAGATTCGAACCATCTGTGGCCAGCTTTGGCACATTGTTCATTTTGTACGGCAAAGCAGAACCGATGCACCTGCATTGCACCACACCAATATATGCATTTTAACGCATTACCTTGTGGAATGCTGCATTGGAAATAATGCTTCAAATCCATTTTTTGTTCATATATAATATACTGTATAAGCGTTTTAAAGTGGTTGCAAAGAAAAAATTAAAAACCCAAACATGTCTATACTTACTTGTCTGTGCAATAGAATCGCACAGAACAGCCACGTTCCTCCTTCTGGTACCCTGCCAGTGCTTCTGGCTCCTTCCTTTCTTGCTGGTGCCTCCAATAGGAAGAAGATTCCCATGGGGGCACCTGTGCGGGTGCCTAAAAAAAAACCAGACAGTGGGACTCAGTCCCACCCCTCGCTCCCTTGTCACTGGCGTTGATTGAGAGGAGCGAATGGCTCCCACTGCTATTGATCTGCCCAGTGAGAAGGGACAAAGCAAGGAGTGTTGCAGCTCTCATGCACAATGCTGGATTGCGATGGGGCTCAGGCAAGTATAAGGGGGGCAGGGGGCATTCTGGTACACAGAAGGTTTTATACCCCAATGCATAGAATGCATTAAGGTAAAAAAAAAAAAAAAAAAAAAAAAAAAACCTTGAGGCTTTCGAACCAATTTAAAGCAATTCACATCAATGCAGGACAAAAAGCATGTGTTAATGCAATGCATAGCAAAGAAGTGTTGGGACGCTCAGTAAGCAGATATTTCAAATTAAAAAAATAAATAAATAAAAATGTATTATTCATGGAGCTAGGACTTCCATTGTTATAATTGTTATTGTATTAAATATACAGATTTGTAAATTAGCCACAAGAAGGTGAATTGATTCAGTCTCCCTTCTGAAAAGCCATTGAGATATTATATCGGCCACACAGAGAGCACGTTATTTTTAATGAGTCAGCAGACTCATCATGAGGAGTAGCACAGCACAACCACTGTGTAGCTCAGCAAAGCAAGAAGCAGAACTGGAGAGTGTAAAGCACATATAGCAGCTACAATGCACATACATAATTGCAAATTATACACAGAAACAGGTTTTAAACATTAACACACTCAGAAGATTTACAATATCTTATTTACATGTTTAACAAATTAGCCCCATAGCAGAAATGTCAAAATGGCTATGGATATTACTCAATTAATTCAGAAATCACTGTATTGCTTATTATACAGAAAATATTTTTGGTTGGTAGGGAAAACACTCAAACTGAGGAGGACCTCCTGGCAATGAATATGCTCCCTACCCTTATGGAGGAGCTCCGTAACTCAGGCTGTCATGGAAAACGACCTGGGGAAAATTAGTTTAGAAATTAGAAATGTATGCAAATAGCAGGGGATATGATGGGGGAGGGGTCAAAAATAAAAGCTGCTATGGGAGCACAATCTGTAGCAAAATTGTGACACTGCCTTAGTCTACACTGGTGCACACCAATATGGTCTCATATGTCTCATCCCAAGTTAAGAGGTACAAAAGGCAATAAATATATAGTGCAATTATAACAGTATATATAGAGAAAATAACAGGAAATGACAAATGAGTTATATAAAAAAAAGTTATTGCCCCATAGGTACATCAGACAACATTCAGGCAAACAACCAGTAAGTTTAATAACGGAGTCAGTTAGGCAGCACCCATTGATTACATGGTTAAGGATCGGAAATTGCAAAATTGATGTGTTGCCAGGGTCAGATCAGGAGACAGAACAGAGTGCCTCAATTCTGTACAGTCAAGCACTGGAGACATGGCATGACATTCATAAATATGGTTGTAAAACAGAAAATTTATGAACGACCAATGGAGCCAAAACAGTACTGCAACAGAATATTGGGAGTTTAGCCATGCCAGATATATAAGGTGTGGAAACAGATTGGCCTCAGTTAGTCATAGAGAAAGTCCCAATTCAACCTTGATGGAATTTGACTAGCAGCCCATCAAGCAAAAGATCTGTCAATCAGGCTAAACATTATTATTATTATTATACAGGATTTATATAGTGCCAACAGTTTGCTCAGCGCTTTACAATATAAGGGAGACAATACAATTACAATACATTTCAGTACAGAAGGAATAGGAGGAACCTGCTCGTGGAGCTTACAATCTAAACATCACATGGGTTCCATATAACGTAGGCAGGAATAAAATATATCTCTGTACTGTTTGTGTGTAGAGCGCTTCGTACATTGATGGTGCTAAAGTAGTACCTATAATAAATATATTGTACATTCACATCAGTCTCTGCCCTCAAGGAGCTTACAATCTAAAGTCCCTAACTCATTCATACATATGCTAGAGCCAATTTAGACAGGAGACAATTAAAATGGATATTAAAAACGCAAAAAAAAAAACAAAAAAAAAAACCTTACACTTACCTGCTCTGTGCACTGGTTTTGAACAGAGCAGCCCCAATCCTCCTCTTCTCGGGTCCCCTGCTGGTGCTCCTGGCCCCTCCCCCCTGTCCAGTGCCTGCAGAGCAAGCATCTTGCTATGGGGGCGCTCAAGCAGGCTCGCTCCTGAGCCGCTGCTCTGCATGTCCATTCACACACAGAACCACAGCCCGGCCCGCTCCCTCTCCCCCCTCAATGGCTTACTAACTGTTTGACAGTAGCGGGAGCCAATGGGAAAGTCCCAAAAGAGCCAAGGCTCTCGTACACATCGTTGGAACGTGATGGGGCTTAGATAACTATTGGAGGGGAGGGTGCTGCTACACAAAAGGTTTTCCCCCTTCATGCACAGAATGCATGAAGGCAAAAAATTTGAGCCTTTATAACCACTGTAACCTAAAAGCATATCTTTGGAGTGTGGAAGGAAACCGGAGCACCCAGAGGAAACCCACGCAAGCACAGGGAGAACCCACGCAGGTAGTGCTGTGGCTGAGATTTGGACCAATGACTCAAGTGCTGCTAGGCAGAATTGCTAACCACTTAACCACTGCGCTGCCCCCTTTAGTGCAAGGAAGAGTGGAAAAACTGGAGACATATTATAGATTATGCCAAAGTAGTAAGGGTTGTAAATTGTAGACAATAAGAAAAACCATACCTCAACCTCCTATTACAGTATCATACACTATTTCTCAAAGGATATCAGTGGTTTATCAAATTTGAAAAATTGTG